TCACATAAATTGTTTGATCGTAGATTAAAACGAAACAGATAACTTGCAAATTTACCGTGACCAGATAAAAACTGAGACACTTTAAAATTTAAACGAGAGGAAAGACTCGGAATTCAGTCTATGGTAAATAGAAGGAAGGAACTTTTTGGTGACTTCATTACAAGATGAAATGTATTCCTCGTTCCACATAGCTAAAAGCTTTTTATAATGAAAGGACTTCCAATAACTCTTTGGAATGCTAATGTTGATATCAATGGGTAAATTTAAGGCATCTTTAGCTAAGAAATCAGCTCTTTCATTTCCCGTAGAAACCATGATGAGCGCGCACATAAGCAAAGCAGATATCAATACTCTAATTCTAAGTGAACTAACAGTTATTAGGGTTTCGATAACTAATTTATCGCAGCTGGTAATACTGTTCAAAAGTTGAAGAGAAGAGTTAATGCTATTAATGAGTAAATTACATTAAATTTATATTAATATTTTTTAACTAATAGATACAATACTTAATCTAGATGTCTTTACGCAAAGTACCTATAATATATTGATCTACTTTATATACCATTGAATAAATATTTTGTTAAGCGTGGGGTAGGATTCCCCGGAAAAACCCTTTTAGTCCTAAGGGTTCTCTGAGTCGATCCAATGCGGAAGTAAGAGGAGCTGTGATTTTTTTCCACGACGTTTGTTTAGCTAGACGACTTTAAGATCATCATTCAAGTCTTTCCGTTTTAAGTTACAGTTACACAGTCGTAGAAGCTAGGAAGAAGGGAGAGAAGAAAATAAAATAAAAAGGAAATTCTTCGCTGTTTTTTCGCGTTTATTGCAGAAGTCAGAAATAATCCTAGAAATATAGATATAAAATGGTCAGAATTTTCCAACGCCAACGCAGGAAAATTTGAAAGATAATGTTGATAAATGAAAGAAATAGGAAGCTAGTCAAAGCTTAATTCGTTATTTGAAACAATTAATTTGTTACGTTTTTCAAATTTCTTACAAGGTATTGTAAAACAGACTCCACATTTAAAATTTTGTCTTCTGTGAAGATGGCTGGCTAAAAGAATATTTCTATCGGTCAACATGAATACCGGTTTTATGTATTAGAACTCAAATTATTGCCAAATTTGTAAGTAGCACCAATGAATGCTTCGCTATATTCATTATCGAAATATATACGTACCGTTACAACTGTTGCCGATAGTCGGTGATCACTTGTTAAATGTTACATATTTTAAATGAAACTTGATTATTCTGATTAAGGAGAAATTCTCGATTTTCTTTTCGTTCAATTTCAGTTTATATGCGGAGATTTATATACCTTGGTATTTCCTATATTTCAATATACAGCATTTAAATCACAGCAATAATATTTTATCACAGTGGCGCCCAACCGTTTTCCTCTCGCCAGCACATTTTGGCTTATTGCGAGCCCATTTTGGCTTTTCGCGAGCGCATTTCCAAAACACCAACATTTTTGTTAAACATATTTCCAATCTTATGTGATACATCTGAAATATTAATTTCGGCAAATGGTTTTGAGATGAATAATAATATTGGTTGAACTTTATGGAAATCAGAGAAGCTGAGCTCAAAATTATTTTTCAGTGCATTTTAGGTTTTCCGAGTATTTCTACTTTTCAGTTGCCTTTTGGTTATTAATATGGCTTGATAAATTCTGAAAATGGGTGTGAAGTTTTTTCTTTCATCTGATTTACCCACAAATTTAACTTTATCTGAAAAGCAATTACAGTCTTAGTCAATTGAAAAAGGGTTTTTCCTTTGTCCCTGGAGATCTTCGTTCAGTTTGTTCAGTTTAGCTGTTATAATCCGTGACAAAATACAGATCGGATAACCAATTATTATCGTCCAATTCTTTATAACTTTCGTTTCCGGATTCCAAACAACTGCTTTACTGTTGAAAGAAGTTTTACAAACTGTTGAAGTACTTTTCCCCCGTTGAGCCATCTAACATCGGAATGAAAAGAAATAAGATTCCTTTATTCGCTATAAAGTTCATCAGTTAGCAATCAATTGTTTTATAACGTCTTTACAAGATATCTCTTATGACTATAAATGCTTACTATATTTTAACAATTAAGAAATATAAAAGAATGGTTATTTTTTAAATATTTTTTATTCATAGTACCTAATAGGGCTGGAGAGTACAAGGTTAGGCACCGCTGTTTTATCATATAATTATCTTTCCTCAACATATTTTCTTCGGAAGACAGGATTTCTTTTAAGTCTTAACATTCTGTTCTATTCAAGTACAAGCCCCTCCCGCCCCAATTGGCTGTGTGGTTAAAACCACTGAATACTTCTCTGTCGACCCAGGTTGAAACATAGGCGAATGGACCGGCTGGATGGTTGTTTTTTGTGGCTTTGGTTTTTCTTAAATGGCTCGTAACGTGAATGTGAGCCAGTTTCTCTTATAATGTCCTCAGCGAAGACTTTTCTACCTTTAAACAAGTAGCCATTCTGTGTTTTGCCAAACTAAAGTATCTTAACCTAGCTATCGAAGTAAGAAATAAAGCTGGAATACAAATCCAGAAATTCCTTTCTGAACTAGTCCTTTTGTGCATCTCGCGAATCTGAGGAACGCGTACACAGAAAGCAAAATTATTCGGTTATTAACATATTTCCGATTTTATAAAACTTCTTAGTAACCATATGAACCATGAGTAAGGAAATTCTTGTCACTCGCGTTTATAAAAATCCGTGACCGTTAACATAATTCAAGGACACTTTCCTGCGCAAATCTCTAAGCGAGGTATTGAATTGAAATGCAGGATTCTCTCCTAAACTCTGAAATTTTGGTCATTTTAATGTAATCGAAAGGACATAAAAATGTATATGTTACAGTGAAAGACCGAAATTGGAGAATGTCGGCTTTCACCGGAGAATGTCAACATTCACCAAATACGTCGGTGAAAGATCGAATAATTCTTTACATTCTTGTAGATTCGGACCCTCACCGGTTTATGTCGACAATCACAGATATGCTCTGGTGTAGGTCGAAAAGAGAGGAGTATATGTACACGCTGCCATTCCAGAAGGAAGTGTTACACAAATAAATGCAGTTGTAAAAGCAAGGGCCTCTTGTGCAATTCAAAGTGTCATAATAGTTTAAGTTGTTGCAATAAATAAGATTTGAATCACATAATTTGTTTAGTTTATAACTTCTATCCTTTCTCATTTTGAATGTACTGTGTGTTTTTTAAGTTTATATTCTTAAGTTCTTATTCTGAGTTTCAAGTGCGTTTTTTTCGCGAATGAATTACGGAGAAAGAAATATAATATTCTTATATGTTCAACATTCACCATTAGTACATGGTGAATGTCGACATTGACCGGTGTAAGTCAGAAATAAGAGTATTTGGAAAATATTTCGGACATACACCAAGCGATTATGTGAATGTTGACATTCACCGGTGAAAGTCGACATTCTTCAGATTTCGGTGTTTCACCGTAACATATACATTTTATTTCCTAATTTGGATGCAAATTTTCTGCGGTTACTTAGATAGTATATATAAAAAGTGGAATGTGCTTAAAGAATTCGTTCACATATAGTCTGGACCTGACAACAGACAAGTGTATCCTTCTTTTGTCTTCGGGTCAAAGTTTTCATTCATATGTCTCAAGATTTTCATTCCTCATTTTCCATTTTGAAATAAAGCAAAATTTACATTTCTACGGAATTATCGGGTTCCCCCTGCGTGCCGTCGTAGCCTAAATAGTTAAACAAGTCAATACACCAATTAAAAGAATCAAATTCTGCGAAGGGTTCATTTTATTTTTTATACTGCCTGCAGCGGAACTGCCTATTAATCACTACAATGGCGCACGAAATTAAATGCACTGAACGATAACTTGCGACTTTCTGCATTTATTGAAACTGTTTTCGTTCTTTTTCTAAGTTGCTTTTAAAACTGGGGAGAATGTATAGAATTACAGCATTTCTCTTTGCACATTCTTGAATGGAAGTGTTAGCACATACACCTAGCAGCTGGAAGATCGTAACATGAATCTCTGCAACAGCAAAGGTAATTTTTCATGTTTCTTAATCTAAAAAAATCTAACAACCTCTTTAGATTATAATTTGAAAAATGATAGAAATTCGAAATAACATAAACGAACTTTCCATATTGCCATCAAAATGTTAATAATAACTATTTGATTAGTTTGTTAATTTTTAAATTCTCCAAATGGTGTATTTCAAAAACGTTGCCCGAACTAAACATCTCTCGAATGACAGACATTGGTCTATGGTTTCTGTTTAAGAAAAGAATCAAGCAATAGGCTTTAAATTTTGGTCATGTGACACTTTTACGTAAAATAACGTATCATAACGTCTCTCAGATCCAAGGCACGACAGGAAAGAGGATACAAATATTTCGTTTTATTTTAAATATACACTAATATATGAATAAGTAAAATGAATATACTTAGTAGGATTTAAAAGTGTTTAATTTAGCAAATCACGCACGTTTTGAACAAAAGAATCAAAATTACAAAATTGTTTAAATAAACAAAAAATATAATGACGTAAAATTACAAAAATTGATTGAAATTAAAGGGGAAAAATGCAAGCATATCTAAGAAAAGTCAAAACCTTAATTGCTTTATAATTGACTGCAGTACATAGTAAAATCTATGTTGCTATATAGCAGTGCTGGTTCTTTAACCGCGGGTTGTTGTGTTTTAGATATGGTTCATTAAATAATCAATAATCTAATAAATGAATTGCTCATGATCAATGGGTTGGCCAGCCTGTTACGTAATTATAAGCTAATTATAAAGTATTATAAAATTATAAGGTATTTCTCCCACCTTCTGAGCATGCCTTCCTAGTGTAGTGGTCAGCACGGTGGGCGCGTATTCCAGAGGTTGGTTCGATTCTCGGCGAGAGCGTTGCTCATTTTTCACTTCTCCTGCTTCCAGAAAATACCTAATGTCGCTGTAAAATTGTCAGGGCTTAATAATTTTTAAATACTTACACCTCACCTGTCAAGCGATGTTGCAAATGGTATCCAAATGAGGAAAAATATTTGTCTATTTCAGGCGAAGAATTCTCAGCAGTTACACATGCACCAGTAAAAAACGGATCTGCTGTCCATATCTTATGTAGCGAAAACCGCGACTAGAAATATTATGACACGCGGACTTTCAGAGTGCAAATCTCGTCCTTGAGCGTCAATCTCCATCTTTCTACTCATTCTGTTAGACGTCAACTAAAGCTCATTCGCTGCTCTAAAAATAAGTTGTAATCACGTGAAAAGAAAATAATAAACTGCAGCATATCAAACGCTATTTCGTTTTTTTTCTTATCAGCAAGTTCTTGATATTCTTTATCCGGTGAAAGTTTCGCTAGCACTACATTTATACAAATCGAAATTTTCGAAAAACTGAATGTTTCGTATAGAAGATACTGTTCAAAAACTGCTATTTTCTTTATAACTATTTAATACTGAGTATTCTATATGTCGAATGTTTTAAAATGTCGCTGAAGTTTGGATTTTAATAATTCTTTCCTAGCAAACAGGAGTAGGTTACAATGCCTCGAACAACAATGGAAACCATCTAGAACATAGTTTGTTAGGTTACAGCCGAAAACATCGCGGCAAAAACATCGCAGACAAAAACGTCGCGGAGAAAACAACGCAAGGCGAGAACATCGTCGCCGAAAATAAAGCGGTTCAAAAACTTCGCAATTTAAAAACATCGTCGTCGAAAATATCATGGTAAAAAATAAAGTATCTACAAATCATCGCATGACGATAACATCGCAGACATGCTTTTTTCAGACATGCTTTAATAACTGTAAATGGATATTCCCATAATGATTCGTGAGCGCAAGATGGAAAGAAGGATAATTTTTACTTTCATATTTTTTATTAATTAATACATTTTTGCTGAGAAAATAAAAAGGAAACTTAAGCATAGAAAATTAATGCAACTTATAGCACTTAATAGAATTTTAAACCGACATAGTTAACTAACAAAGGCCATTAATAAATCATTTTTATAAAGTTTTTACTGGTAATTTTTCATGAAAAGTATAATCTATAAGTTGCATTTAATTTTCTATGCTTAAGTTTCCTTCTTACCTTTTGAGCAAAAATTTATTAGTTAATAAAAAAATGTGAAAGTAAAAATTATGCTTCTTTAAACCTTTTGCTCACAAATCATTATGGGAATATCCATTTATAATTATTAAAACCTGAAAAAAAGCATGTCTGCGATGTTATCGTCATGCGATGATTTATAGATACTTTATTTTTTATCACGATATTTTCGGCGACGATGTTTTTAAATTGCGAAGTTTTTGAACCGCTTTATTTTCGACAACGATGTTTTATATCACGATGTTTTAAAACTGCGATGTTTTCTCTTTGCGATGTTTCTCCCACGATGTTTTGTAGCACGACGTTTTCGCCTTGCGTTGTTTTCTCCGCGACGTTTTCGTCCGCGATGTTTTTGCCGCGATGTTATCGGCGGACACCATTTGTTAACAGGGGGCCATTGGACGGGATAGCTGTAAAACTTGTCAAGGCTTGTCTTTGGCCAAACGAATTGATCTAGAGCTCAATTCGATAATATTCTATAATAATTCTATAATATTTTTTATAATATTTGGAAACACCCTACGTTTGAAAGCCTAGTTATGAAGGACTAACTGTAACGATAAATCATTCGAAAGGAAAGATGCAAATCGGAAACAGCGATGTGAAATCTGAGGATGGTTAAAACACAGGGTGTCTGAATCAAATGTACCTAATTTGGAGAGGTCGCCCCTACTTAACAGAGATTTTAAAAGCAGAAGCAGAAGAAACTGTAAAATTAGATACCAATACTCACAAAGTTTAGCCCTGAGAATGTCCAGCTGGTAATCCAGTTCCAGCCATGTCCAGTGTAGGACTTCCGGAGTCATAGCAGCAATAGCCGCGGTTATGAAAGCACGAAGGTCTTCAATATATCGGGTGTTCTCTAAGTAGACTTTATCTTTCACTTAGCCCCAAAAGAAGAAATCGAGAGGAGTCATGTCCAGAGATCTTGGTGGCCAGCCAGTTGGGCTGCCGCGTCCTATCTATCGGTTATACAAATACTGCACGCTACGGCCCATCATTTTGGCTGCAGTTTCTGACTAATATGCATTTTATATGCATGCATACTCAGTTTCCGATGCAGCACATCATGAATAGTTGATCGTGGCATAGATAATTCAGAAGCTGCTGCCTGATTGACTGACGAGGGCACCGAACGAAAGCTTGTCGAACCTCTTCCAAACTTGAATCAAAATGTAAACACCGGTCACTTCCGGATCTTTTCCCGTTTCGAGAAACATTTTGTGCCACTTTTTTATGCTCTTAGCCTGGAGTGGATTTCTTTTATAAACTATTTAAAACATTCTTTGCATTTTTACTACGGATTTGTGTTTTACATACCAGAGAACAATTTGTGTCTTCTCTTGAGGAGATGCCATTTTGCCGTTTGTCGGCTCAGCAGGTGCTTCAGACGCGACAAAAAAATATTGTCAGCAAACTCTACGAATTCAGCTCTCACATGTGGCCAATATTGCCCTCGTAGCCCTAAAACTTTGTTTTTAATCGAATATTTAAAATAGATGCATTTGATTAGGACATCCTGCATATCAAAGAAATAGAAAATGAAACAATCATTTTCCTAACAAACGTTGAAATATCAGCTACCTTCACATCCATTTTAGTTTCTTTTCAGTAAATTATTCTTTTATGTATGAATTAGGCCTTTTCAGCTAGGATGACAATGGTATTTCCTTAGTAAAATTGCATTTTTAAGTTCTGGCAATTATTCACAAGTTCTTTGCCATAACACTTACCAATTTAGACCTTACTTTATTCTAACCAATTATTTTTGGCTAAAGAAACTTTCCTTTCCCTTCTGATTTCAATATCCTGCCAGAATGTAAATTTAATGACGTATGTGCAAATCTAATAGTGGGTTGGAAATAGTACTTAAGCAGCAGTGTTAAGGGTTCACGGTAGGAGAGTTAGTTTCGAATTCACGCCGCGTGTATGAAGTAGCTCGTTAAAAGAACAGTTGCTGCTAGCCTCTGTCTTTAAATGATATTGATAGTTTAAGCTCGGCTTTGCTGTGTGCAACCGAATTCCCCCCGGGGGTCGACGTAGGTAATTCTGCGAAGCTACTGGCTACGATCTGTATTTCGGCAGTCTCGGCCACGGGGGTATAAAATTTATGAACTTGGTGGTTCTGAAGGGCCCCGGGAAAGGTCACTCATTGGCCGGCCTTAAGGGTCTGGCATGTCCTGAGCGGTTGGATCCGTAGCCCGGGGGGTTCCTCCCCGGTTTGCTGGGTAACGGCCCTCTGCGACGGGCTCGCCCATGCGACTGGCTGGAGCAATTGACGACCAGTGCTGCCGGATGTCATCCAGGTGGTGCTCTGCTCCCCTGGAAGGCCCATAGTGGAGCCTCCACGAAGTGCCCAAAGGGGTAATGGACCTGTAGTGTGATTGAATTCACGGAGCAGGGAATGACCAAATCTTGTCGCGTGCAGCCGATTTAGCGGTTGAGATAAAGAAGAAGCCAGTCGTGTAGTCACTCTTTACCTTATTATGACTATACATACTATTTTCTGTTGAAGTTACTTAGCGACAAGTAGTGGTTAAATTGTGAGCACCGAGTGAGTGTGTTTTTACTTCCTTGTACGAAGTAAAAAGGAAGTATTGTAATCCCGAAAAGTTTCAGACCTCATAATTTAATTAAATATCCACTTTCATCGCTATTGAATGCAATTTAACGATGTTTTTGCGTGACATCTGTACGTAAGGACAGGATAAAGAACTCTTTCCCCCCAAAAAAATTCTAAAACTAATTTAAAATGAATTCTGAAAAGAATTTAGTGTGGCTTCTATGCATACGTACGTACGTATATATTTAGCATAACTCAAAAACGAGTAGCCTCAGAACGTTGGAATTTTGTATATAGGACTGCTATAACATGTAGATGTGCACCTCGTATTTTGGATGCAATCGGCCCCACCAAAAGTATATATATAATATATACTTTAATAATAACTGGTATACCTTTTAGATAGCATTTTATATCTTGTAACAAAGAAGAGTTGTAAAATGCGTAATCGATAACTTCCAAAAATATATATTCACTCTATTACTTGGCTCAGTGATCTCAATTTCTTTATTCTTATATGTTTGTAAATTGAGCATTTTTTGCTTAAAAATGATTGAATTATGTTTGCCTTATCTTCCGGTTAAGGTTTTTATGCCTTTAGTAAATTTGTATGCAATAATTTTAGAATTGTATTGGCGCGTATTCGAGAGGCCTGTGGTTCGAGTCCCGGCGAAGTCGTTGCTCATTTTTCATCTTGTCTGCTTCAAAAATACATGATGTCTCTACAACTCTTCAAGCTAGCTGTTAAAATTCCAAATAAAACTTTAAGATAAAAACTAAGGTGAAGAATTTTAACTTCCAATTATAAACACGTTGGTTTAAATTGCGTTTCCACTAATTTACTATTAGTAGATCGGAAACAAGATCTAAGGTGAAAAAAATTGGCAGAGATAAATATTGATCAATTAATTAACAACAATAATCAATTAATTAACAACTGCATAAATGTAAGCAATTAGCAATATCAATAAATGTAGCAATATCAATTAATTAACAACTGCATAAATGTAGATTCTGACCTAGCTAGCTCAATAAGTAATGAGCAATTACTGAATAAATAGTTTTGTGAATCATTAGGTTACGTTGATACAGGAACGTGAAAAATTTGCAATGCCTGCACCAGGATTCGCACTCTGGACCTTCCGAGTGTGCGTCAAGCGTGCTCCCAGTTATACTACAAAGGCATGGAGAAAGGAGGAAGAAAATGCCTTTCATACACCTCCCTTTAAAGTGGGAATGGGGACTAGCGGACACATTCACCAAATCCTGGTGGTGACGAGCTGGTATACCACATTGTAGTTCGGGTGCCACTTGTAGAGCCATTTAGAACTCTTTCGATGGCAGAAAGCTGAAGAAATCTGCAGTGCTTTCGCCGGGGTTCGAACTCCGGAAGTCCCGAATATGCGTCGAGCGTACTTTCAGTTACACCATGAAGGCATGAAGAAAGAAGGAATTAGATATCTTTTATAGTCTTCTGAAAGACTTTATGATTCTTAATTTATGAGTTGCTAGTCTGCAGTAAGT